GCAGCCGTGTCATGACGTACCGCGAGCACACAGCCTGGGTGGTGAAGACGCACCTGCAGAAGCAGCCCGAGGGTCACATCATGAGCGTCAGGTACGGAGCCTGCGGGACGAGCTCTGCTGGAAAACACCCCACGCGCGGCCGGGCCTCGCTATTTACGCAGCTGGGGGGTTGAGCACCAGCTCTGGCATTTTGGGGCATTAACGAACGTCCGCCTGGATTGGCCACAGAAGTTGGGGCGTGCGGCGGGGGGCGGGGGGCTGGGCCTGTGGGCGCAAAGGGAAGTTTCCTGGCATCCTTCCCAGCCTCACGCGGCCCAGGAGGAGGAGGGCATGGCAGGCAGACTGGCCACAGGCCACAGGACCCCGTGTCATCCCCAGCTGTCCACCGGCAAACCCTCTTGGCGGCTCTGCCAACACGGCTGAGAGTAGCAGGTGTTTGTTTGCCGATTAAAGGGACAAGATGTAATTCCCTGTCACCGCCACATTCCTTCAAAGAGACGCTCTGTCCCATTTGTCATCTGAAAACCGCGCCGCTCTCGGGCGACCTCACCAGGGCAGGGCAGGGCAGGGCCCGCGGCATGTCCCATGTCTCCGGATGGAGTGCAGTCTCTGCCGCAGACAGAGCAGGCAGCCCCCACCCTCCTCTATGCCTATGCCGCTGAGTCTCCCCAGACCCGGCCTCCGGCTCAGCAGGGAGCTCAGAGTATCAGGGCTCTGGGCTGGGGGCCGCCCCCGGGCGTGGGGGCCCGTGGGCTCGTGGGCAGAGCCCCGCAGCATCACTGCTCCCCCCCGGCAGTGTCAACGGGGACGTACGCTTCTTCGACCCCCGCGTGCCGGAGTCGGTCAACGTGCTGCAGATCGTGAAGGGGCTGACGGCCCTGGACATCCACTCGCAGGCCAACCTCCTTGCCTGGTAGGTGCTGCCCGCACCCTGTCCCCCCCGTGCCGGGACGAGACGGAGAGATGAGATGGCATGTCACCCCTGTCCACACGCTCTTGGCGGCCCACTCGTCCCAGCCTGGCCCCCAGGCCAGCCCCCGAGAGCGCAGCCCGGTGCCCGAGGCGGACTGGGGAGGGGTCTGCTCCCGGCCTTCCCAGCAGTACAGACCTCGTCCTGGGGCTGCCAAGCCTCTCCCACCCGGACGCCTTGACCCTCTCTGTCCCCCCCCGACCCCAGCGGCTCGATGAACCAGTTCACCGCCATCTACAACGGCAACGGGGAGCTGATCAACAACATCAAGTACTACGACGGCTTCATGGGCCAGAGAGTCGGCGCCATCAGCTGCCTGGCCTTCCACCCGCACTGGGTCTGTACCTGTGCTCCAGGCCGGGGGGCACGGCGCCCCTCACCAGCTCCCCGCTGCCCGCCACCCCTCACCCCTGCTCTGTCTCGGGGTGCAGCGTCCCCAGCTCCCGGCCGCCCCTCACCCCTGCTCTGTCTCAGGGTGCAGCGTCCCCAGCTCCC